TTACCATAATCCCTGCAAGAATTCCAATGGCATTCCTCACAGAAATAGAAAATCAGTACCAAAATTCTTTTTTTTAGTTGTAGATGGATAAAATACCTTAATTTTATTCATTTATTTTTATGTGGGGCTGAGGATTGAACCCAGTACCTCAAACATGCCAGGCAAGTGCTCTACCACTGAGCCACAATCCCAGCCCAGTACTAAAATTATTAAGCAACTACAAAAACCCCAAATAATCAAAACAATACTACAATAGAAAAGCAGATTCAGAAACATCATATTCTGATTTTTTTAAAGATTATATTACAAAGTGCCCAGCATGTGCAAAGTCCTTGGGTTCAATCCTCAACACTGCAAACAAACAAAATAAAACAAAAAAATACTACTGGTATAAAAAAAAAAAAAACAGACATCAGACAAGTGGAATAGAATAGAAGGCTCAGAAATAAATTTAAACAAATATGGTCAACTAATTTTTGACAAATGTAGCAAAAGGACACAATGGTGAATGGATAGTATCTTTAATAAATGTTGTTGAGAAAAATGGGATTTCTACTTGCCAATGGATGATTACACTATTATACCATACACAAAAATCTGTTCAAAAGAAACGAAAGATCTATAGGATTTAAAACCATAAAACTTGTAGAAGAGAACACAAGTGAAAAATTCTTTGACATCAGCCTTGACAATGATTTTTTAAAAATACTACATCAAAAGGCTAAAAAACAAAAACAAACAGGATTATATCAAACTATGAAGCTTCTACACAACAAAGGAAAGAATCAACAGAATGTAAAAGAATGTAAAGGAAACATACAGACTAGGAAAAATAATTGCAAACTACATATCTGAGAAATAGTTAAGTTGCCTTTTAACTTAGTAGTAAAAAAATGGGAAATTTAATATTTAACAGTTCTGGTAAAAAGTTTGTGAATATTATATGTATATATATCTGCACACATATTTTGTGAATTATATAATTTTTTTAAACTTGAAGAACATGAAAATCATGCTTTTAGAAGTACTGTTTATAGTGAAGAAACTCAGCTACAGTCTAAATAAACCTTTTTATTGTGAATGCTTCTTACAGTTTCTTATAAAAAGTACCATAAAATCAGTATTCTAAATGCATACATCTGACATGGACTTTTCTACACCTGTAGAAAGAAAGCACTATTTTTGCTAAATGTAAAGGCTGTTATTTGCAGATCTGTTCTACTGCTCTAAGTCATTGATGGTTACAGGCTTTATATTTAACCTGAAATACAAAGCATTTTCTTCTAGGCTTGAAGTTAAATCATTTCACAAAGTGTATACAGGTAAATTCTGAGTTACCTTTGTCTTGCTACACGTACTTGAAAAACAAGGTTAAGTGGTTGTCCAGGTATGCATTGTGTATGGCATCAGGTATATTCTTTTCTTCTTCTGCCTGTCTGGAGGTACTTTCTATGCACCTATCCTCAAGCTCGCCATTATGAATTTTAACAACAACAGAATAATTTTTTCCTGCTACTTTGATGAAAGGTCATGCTTAGTGGGCTGACTTGTCTATTACTTATATCCAATTATCTTGGAACACGCTATATACATTACGTAGGGTAAATACAAATAGAACATTTAGGACTTTTGCATTTATGCATAAATGAGATTGGCCAGAAGGACCTCTCCCCTTCTGGGGAACACTGCCATAATCAAACTCAATGAAATGAATTAGGTGGCTTTGCATTGCTGAAAATTTATGTGGGAATCATCTCTTCTCTAAAGGAGGGAAAGAACTCTTTTATAAAATTTCCTGAGTGAAATGATAAGTGCTATAAAGAAAAATAAAGTAAGGTAAGGGGATTGAGTGAGCAGGCCTTCTTTTTTAGATGAGGTGGATAGGAAAGGCCTCTCAAATAAGCAGAAACCATAAGAAAGCAATAGAGCAGGCAAATATTTAAGAGAAGAGCATCCTAGGCAGAGCAAAAAGAAAGCCAAAAGACTTCATTTTTATTATTTCTGTTCATCTTAAATTCCCTCTCACCATTTGACCCAATTATCCCACTCCTTGGTATATACGCAAAGGATTTAAAATCAGCCAATAATGACTCAGCTGCATCAATATTTACAGCAGCTCAATTCACAGTAGCTAAGCTATGGAACAAACCTATATGCCCTTCAACAGTTAAATGGATAAAGAAAATGTGATATATAATAGAATATTACTCAGCCATAAAGAAGAATGAAATTATGGCATTTACTGGTAAATGATGGAACTGGAGACTATCATGCTAATAGAAATAAGCCAATTCCCCCAAACTAAAGGCTGGATGTTCTCTCTGATACGTGGATGCCAACACACAACAAGGGGTGGCAGGACAATAGCATTTCATTGGATTAGACAAAGGGGAATGAAGGGAAGGCAGAGGGATAGGATGAATTGGTCATAACTTTCCTATGTTCATATATGAATATACCACCAGTGAAACTCCATATCATATACAACCATAAGAATGGGATCCTAATTAGTATAAGTCATACTCCATGTATGTATAATGTCAAAATACACTCTACTCTCATGTATATCTAAAAAGAATAATTTTTTTTAAAAAATTTGTTTTTAAGTAAGCTTCTAGGCCATAAGTCACAAAACTATCCCTAATCTACAAGAGAGGTCAGAAAATATATGATGTTAATGAGCACACTGTTTGCTGCCATAAATGGAATCAGGATTCCGTTAGTAAGGAAGGATGAGAGAATAAATATTGGATAATCTGCTAGCAATATCTTTCATAAATCCTTTGGACCTGGCAAATATTTCTGTAGATTCCCATACTATGTGGATTGCTATCAAGCATTAAAAAATGGAAAGGTATCCAATTTATTTCATGAAAGTAGCCAGCAGCCCATATTAAAACCTGATGAAGATGGCTGAAAAGGAAAATTGTAGACCAGGTTAACTTATGTATAAAGCTGCCAAAATGCAAACATGCCAGTTTTTTAGTACTTTTAAAAGAATCATCCATCATGATCACATAAGGTTCATATTATAAATGCAAGAACACTTTAATATTAGAAAAGATTTTAATGTAATATGACATATAACAAGATCCAATAAGAAAAAAATATGATAAAGTAGATAAGGATTTGATAAAAGTCAGCGTTCATTTCTGATTAAAAAACTAGGCTTAGACAACTAAGACTAGAAATAGATTTTTTTCTTTCTCCTCCTTCCCTCCCCCCTTTTTTTCTTTCTTTGTGTCTTTTCTTTTTTGGGGGGAGGGTATCAGGGATTAGACCCAGGGGCACTTAACCACTGAGCCACATCCCCAGTTTTTTTTAATTTTTATTTTGAGACAGGGTCTTGCTGAGTTGCTTAGGGCTTTGCTAAGTTTCTGAGGCTGGCTGGAACTTGTGATCCTTCTGTCTCAGCCTCCGGAGCTGCTCAGATTGCAGGTGTGCACCACTGCAACTGGCTAGAAATATATTTCTTTAATGAAATAAAAATATTTATCTTCCTATTCTGGCCAAGCTTATTCCATTTCAAAGGACAACAGTGTATTTTACATATCTCAAAACTTTTGATTCTGTGACTTCAAAATACACATTTAAAGAGTATCTGAAATAGTCTGACATAAAACCATAATAATGTATTTCTAGGTACTTTTGGAAACTTGTTATAAGATTCTCTTATATATACTACTAGCACATTCCTCCTTTCCTCTGCAGGTCAGATCTTTTTAACTTTCTTTTTAACATATATTAGTCAATGAACCTAGTTTGGTAGGATTCTGAATATACCTATTTTAGATTCATGGAAAAATAACACCCACTCATTCCTGTTTTTTTCCATGTTCGTGTAAAAATGTGGTTACTGGTAATATTTTCTTTGAACTTTTAGAACTGAGTAGTTTTTAAAAATAAAATTATCTATTCCTTTGTGAAATGCATAAGAATTTGCTCTGATAATAAATAGATAAAGGCTTTAAATTTTGAAAACACTGATATATGTTTTATACCAATATTTTTAGATCTTATTTTTTTTTGCCATAACCCACATTAAGGAATATTTACACCTTGACCAAGTATGCACACAATGCACACACATTCTATAACATATTTGTATAATTAAATATTTCACAGAACTTACTGAGGATCTATGCAAGTTCTGATATTATCAGTTCTATTCTACTTCATTTACAAAAATTGGTATCAATCCACCAAAATGATTTTATAACCCATCACTATAATTTGATAAAACACTGTTTTATTTATTTTTTTTCCGCTTTTTTAAAATTTTTTTTTAAAATTTTTTATTGTTGGTTGTTCAAAACATTACATAGTTCTTGATATATCATATTTCACACTTTGATTCAAGTGGGTTATGAACTCCCATTTTTACCCCGTATACAAATTGCAGAATCACATCAGTTACACATCCATTGATTTACATATTGCCATACTAGTGACTGTTGTATTCTGCTGCCTTTCCTATCCTCTACTATCCCCCCTCCCCTCCCCTCCCCTCTTCTCTCTCTACCCCCTCTACTGTCATTCATTTCTCCCCCTTGTATTATTTTCCCCTTTCCCCTCACTTCCTCTTGTATGAAATTTTGTATAACCCTGAGGGTCTCCTTCCATTTCCATGCAATTTCCCTTCTCTCTCCCTTTCCCTCCCACCTCTCATCCCAGTTTAATGTTAATCTTGTTCTCATGCTCTTCGTCCCTACTCTGTTCTTAGTTACACTCCTTATATCAAAGAAGACATTTGGCATTTGTTTTTTAGGGATTGGCTAACTTCACTTAGCATAATCTGCTCTAATGCCATCCATTTCCCTGCAAATTCTATGATTAAAACACTGTTTTAGAACATGTTTTTCAGCATCCTTGTAGTCCAATTTTGTTGTTGACATTAACTTTTCCTGTGGTAAGAGATGCTTTTGGTGCTAGTTTTTCTATAATCTCTAGGAGGATTGTGGGATAGGAATTTCCTAAATGATTTTTTTTTCTTTCTGCAGATCTCATGTGTGAATATAAATCTAGTACATCATTAACCTAAGGACCTTACCAATTGGAAATTGCAGTTTTCACCTTCAAACTACCATATCCTTTTTGATTATTCTCTTCCTAAAAAAGTGTAAACATCTTTCAAGTTATTTTTGTTGCAGAGCTAAACAAATGGCTGATAGTGACTTGAATAAAATATCTAGACAATGTCCCCACTGTTCATCTACCCTGCAGAATAATGGACTTAGATTATGTTCTTGCACATCAAACTATTCTCCAGTTTTGGTGGTAGAAATGTCACAGACATCAAGCATTGCCAGTTCAGAAATCGTAGTTTCAGCAGAGAGAAAAAAAGAAAAAAGTATCAGCAGAGAACCTTCTGGGAAAGATTTGGTAAATATCAAGGATTCTACATCTTATTATAAGTTAACATCCCATTATTTAATCCCTTTCTTAATTCCCTCTCATGAGCCCTTGTCAGGTAATTAATTTCCTTCTTAACCATAAAAGAAACATTTCTGGGCTGGGATTGTAGCTCAGTGGTAGAGCACTTGCCTAGCATATGTGAGGCATTAGGTTCGATTCTCAGCACCTCATATAAATAAATAAAGATAAAGGTCCAACTAAAATATTTTAAAAAGAAACATTTCTTACAGAAGAGGTGAGCAAAGTTGGTTAATTGTATGTTTTATGATATTTCCAACTAATACCCAAATTAATTATTTTTCAGGATCCACAACAATTAGCAATGTCTTTCCAGCCCTTTAAACAAATGGGTTATAAGGACTGATTTTTCAAATTGAATCAAATCTGAATTTTTGAGCATTTTCTTCCACTGATGCAGAATGAGACTTATGTCTATGTTTAAATAAAGTGTGATTATGGTTTATTATTTAAGGAAATTTCTGGTTTTCTAACTGGAATTTCAAATATACTTTACAAAAATCAGTTTGCATTAGTTACAAACAATCTATAGACACCCAGTTGAACTGATTTGTCTATATTTATCTACATAAAGAAGAGGCAGTATAGAAGAGTATAGTTGATACAGTACAATTTTTGAGACAGAAAGCAGTTAAATTTAAGAAAAGTCATGTTCTCACTCCCCCAAATTGAACCTGTTTCACATTTTCCCCATCAACTACTATTTACTACTTGAATTATATAGTTATGGCCATGTAGGTGTCTCTGAGTGAGTTATTACTATGTTATCTTAATTCAGAGAATATTGGATTATTTAAATTAGAGTTTGTTATCAACAAGAATATTGTATCTTAAAGTTATTTTTCAAAATTCCTTTTTGGTTCTAGACCTCCAGAACCTCAAATGTAGAAAGAAAACCATGTCAACAACAGTGGAGTCGGTGCAACATTTCAGAAGGAAAAGTTCCTCACATAAGGATGGAGGATGGATCTTCTATTGAGGTATACAGGAAACAAGCGGAAGCTTCTAGGGACTTGCAGGTTGCTTCTAAGTCAGTGGTTAGTGGCAAAAAAAAAAAAAGTTTTCAAAATCAGCTTTTAAGGAAAATAAGTAAAGTAAGGAGGAAAATTTCCATTTTCAAGTATGTCAAAGTTTTTCAAGGAAATAAACAAACAAGGGAAACAAAAAAAATCAAGGGAAAGAATTAAATTACAACAGATGGGGTAGAGAGAGAAGATGGGAGGGGAGGGGAGGGGGGATAGTAGAGGATAGGAAAGGTAGCAGAATACAACAGTTACTAATATGGCATTATGTAAAAATGTGGATGTGTAATCGATGTGATTCTGCAATCTGTATTTGGGGTAAAAATGGGAGTTCATAACCCACTTGAATCGAATGTATGAAATATGATATGTCAAGAGTTTTGTAATGTTTTGAATAACCAATAAAAAAATTAAAAAATTAAAAAAAAAGTTTTTCAAGGATTAAACTCAGGGGCACTCAACTACTGAGCCACATCCCCAGCCCTATTTTGTATTTTATTTAGAGATAGGGTCTCACTGAGTTGCTTAGCATCTTGCCATTGCTGAGGCTGGCTTTGAATTTGCAATCCTCCTTCCTCAGCCTTCTGAGCTGCTGGGATCACAGGTGTGTACCACTGTAACCCACTCAAAAGTGTTTACTCAAGAAAGTGCAGGCTAAATTTCTTGCTCATAGAGGATGAAATGGACTTCAATAAAGAAGAGGGCATTTTTATTAGAAAAAAGGAGAACATTTTGGTGTAATGTTGGCTGTCCCTCAAAGTACAGTGCATACATATGTGGACTCCTTGAAGATGTAGAAGCCACATGACTTTTGATACTTTAGCTGTTCATCTCCTTGGTGATTGATAGGGAGGCCACAGTTTCCCTTGTAATCTTTCTGTCTTTTCCATATTGGATCAATACCAGTATTATTCTTCAAGGATTTTGATTATTATATAAGAATATGAATTAAATATTAGAACCATTAAAAATTAAATTGTGTCCCTTTAATACGAGATTGAAGAAACTATAATAAAAATAATTACAAGAAGAATTTTCATTCATGTTAAGTAGTTTTTTAAATTGTGTTAGGAGATACTTGGCAATTTATCTGGAGTGATTAGGAAAACTTCCTAGGAAACTTTGACATGAAAAGTTTAAACATTCTTCCTTTAAATAAAAGTTCTGCACTTTACAAAGTCCACAAATTTAGCTATAAGAACTTTTCAAAAAGCAAAATGTGTTCACTGTGAAAGATCATGAACATGCAGATAAAAAGTGAAGAAAATAAAAATCATCACACAGTTTTAGCCAATCTAATTTATTATCTTCAGTTTTTTTCTATTTATGTACCAGTTATACTCTATTTTTCTTCAAAAAGTCTGTTTTAAATTAAGAAATATTTCAAGTATATGTACATTTTAAAGAAATAATCTTAATTTGTATAGTTGAAATTCAAACTTCTTTCCCCCATAGCGTGGACAAACTCACTATAAATATTTTTATCATTTCAAAGAGTATAAAGAATGAAGTTACAATCATCTGCAAGTCTACTACCTATAACCACTCTTAATATTTAGATGACATCTGTCCACACACCAATGTAAGTGCCTTATCATACCCACGTGTTGTAAAGGGATTGTAAGTACATGGTTTTCACACTCTGCTATATCATCAACTTCCTCTGTGTCAATAAAAATAGATTTAAATTATCATTTTAACAGCATCCTCTTAAAATTATTAGAGACAAGAAATCATTTTCTCCTTATTTTAACTAGTATATAACACTATCAGAGCAGTTAGTTAAAGAAAACTATAAGTTATAAAACACTGTGCACTCCTCATTTTTAAAAAATCCAACTTAATCAGTACTAAAATACTATATTTAGAATGTGGTTCCATATATTTAAAGAGGACAATTAAGGTTGGTTTTGTTTTAAAGGACAAGACAAATTTGGGACATAGTTATGAAGAGATTATTCTGTGGGATAAAAGGGTAAATGACTATATTAATTGAGATTTAATTCACTTTACATACTATATATGTGGGAGTTATATGTAAATATAATAAAAAATAAAATTATACTTTGTCCTATTTTCTGATTAATCATCTGAGTTTTCTGACTTTGATTCTCACTACTACACTATTATGTGGTATTGGGGAAGAGGGAGGAACTAGGTCTTTTAATGGATACAACAGAAACAGCTCTTTAAGGAGCTTCTATTCTGTCTTGGAATAAAACAAAAGCCAAAACAAGCATGATAGTAATAATAGTTTTTGAAGACTAATATAAACATGCTGAAGGGAGTATAAATAAAGTAACAGTCATCGTTGTGCAGAGTTAGGAAGGAAAGCTCTCTGAGAAGGGATTAAGTCATTGGGCATTTCTTGTAGAAAACTAAGAAAGGAGTGTAAGCAGTGAGGAATAGGAGCAGTTAATTTAGCTGTTAAATGATAAGCAGAAAGAGTCTTGGTCTGGATGGTGGAATTGTGGATGTGTTCATTTTCTTCTCAGTGCTAATTTTTTAAATTTTATTTTTTAACTACATGACAGTGGAATGCATTACAATTCTTATTACACATACAGAGCACAATTTTTCATATCTCTGTTTGTATATAAAGTATGTTCACACCAATGATGTCCACCACATTCCACTATCATTGCTAACCCTCTGCCTCCTCCTTTCCCCTCCCACACCTCTTCCCTATCTAGAGTTTGTCTATTCCTCCCATGCCCCCCCCTCCCTACCCCACTATAAGTCAGAGTCCTTATATCAGAGAAAACATTTGGCATTTGTTGTTTGGGGATTGGCTAACTTCACTTAGTATTTATTATCTTCTCCATCTCCATCCATTAACCTGCAAATGCCATGATTTTATTCTCTGTTATTGCTGAGTAATATTTTATTGTGTATGTATGCCACATTTTAAAATTAATTCATCTACTGAAGGGCATCTAGGTTGGTTCCACAGTTTATCTATTGTGAATTGTGTGGGGGAAAAGGCACACTTGTACATTGCTGGTGGGACTGCAAATTGGTGCAGCCAATATGGAAAGCAGTATGGAGATTCCTTGGAAAACTGGGAATGGAACCACCATTTGACCCAGCTATTCCTCTCCTCAGTGCTAATTTTTATTCAAATTTCTGTCACATATTGCTTTTTCTAAAACAAAATGAGAAAAAAATAAGAGTAATAACTAATAGAGATAATGAAAAAGAGAAAACATTAATTGTAAACAATAAAGCAATTGTTCAATGGGTGTATATATTGATTTTGTAGTATAACTCTGAGTTTTGGGATAATTTTTTGGTGACTGAATAAATTGTATTTATATATATATGCAAATGTGTGTATATTACCATTCCATTTCTTTTTTCTTCTGAAGATATTTTATTAATATTTATAAAGATATTTCATTAATATTATAGTTTGAAAGTGACTCATTTTACACTTTTGAGTTTTTCCATATTTCACCATTTGGAATTTTATAGTTTCCCTCCAAAGGGGATAGTTAATAAAATTCATCAAAACTTATTTTTTGTTAATTAAGATTTTTTATGAATACTGAAGCAAATAAGTAGCGTCATCTCTTTGATTTTATCCTGTAACAGAATCTCTCTTCCCTTGAGCGGATACCTGTCAGTATTATGTGCTCATTTTTAATACCCGATGAATGGCAGAGAAAGACAAAAGAACTCTTATTTTGTCTCCAGGATTTCTATACCTTTGGAAGAATATTGGGACAAGGGAGCTTTGGACTGGTTGTTGAAGCTACAGACAAGGAAACAGAAACTAAGTGGGCAATTAAAACAGTGAATAAAGAAAAGGTAGGGCTTGTTAGCAGAATCCCATTGAGGACACAGTGTGGTGTGGGTTGATGTGGGCAGTGCAATTTTTCACACTAATACAAGCTATGTCTGAGCCTGAGGGCCAGGGCCTGACAGTGGAGAAGTGTGGGCATTGCTCTTGCTTCCTGGGAAGGGACTGATACTTGAGCTCAAGTAGACAAGTGCTATTTGGAAAAAGCAAATGAAAGGATAACACAATCAATATAACCAAATAGGTAAATTTTTACCAGAATGAGTTGAAGGTAAGGGCTGGTGTTCATTAGGATAGGCACAGGGCTGTGGGCTGGAGACATCTTAGCTATAAGTAAGTCCTGATTGTCCCCTGTGGGGTTTTGTTATACTTTTCACCTATCCTTCCATTTGATTCCTCATTGTTAGCTAAAGAATTTTGTTTATTCATCCTATCTGCTCTTTCAGTTTGAACCACTTTGTCTCACAATTGTCTAATACATTGTCACTTGTACTCATTATATTTCTCATTACATTCACTCTTGGAGTGAACAAATGGGCTTCTCTTTGAAGTGGAGTCTAATATACTTTATACCAGATCATTTTTATCAACTGTAAAAAATTTCTATGCCTGGAAAAAAATCACAACATTATAGTGTTTTCTCCTTGAATCTGTAATGATAAATATTACTTTTGTAAAATTAAACAGTAAGTTTTGAATATATTCTTTAAAAATAAACTGTAGCAAATTTCTCCCTAATGTTCAATAAGGTAACAGATCAATCTTTTTGGGGGGGCACAGGGGATTGAATTCAGGGGCACTCAACCACTGAGCTACATCCCCAGCCCTATTTTATATTTTATTTAGAGACAGGGTCTCACTGAGTTGCTTAGCACTTTGCCATTGCTGAGGCTGTCTTTGAACCAGCAATCCTCCTGCCTCTGCCTTTGGAGCCACTGGGATTACAGATGTGTGCCACCACACCTGGCACATATCAAATCTTAATAAGATTAATAAAGCAATTAAGAGTCTTTCTAGAAATCTTTAGAATTCTTTAAGGTTCTAGGAAGCAACCCACAATGCTACCCAAGGTATCCTTTCCACCTTTATTTTGGTTTCAGGTAGGTTAGGGGTCCAGTTTTAGGGCTATATAGATAAGATACTTACTTGCAACTTTAGGAATTACTCTTTCACATACATATTGATGTTGAGAGTTTATGGGAAACTATGATATTACAATAAGATTATATAGGTTAAAGTTATAATATATAATTGAACAAAATTATTGCATTATGAACAGGTCAAAATATTTGGGTTGAGAGAAAGGAACAGAACTAAGATGGCTATTAGGAGAAATTATGTTAACTTTCCATATCTAGTCTAGACAAGAATTCACTCCTTATAGTCAGTATTTTTCTTGATCTTCTAGGTTAATCTTAAAATGTGTTTTCATCCTATATGGGTGGGTTATACATGGTAGGGGAAGTGTCAGTATCCTAGACATCCCAAGATGGTATAGATTGAAAAATGAAGTTGAGTGGAAGCAGGAATAACTTTAGATAAAATTTTAACTGGATGATGTGAGCTTTGTGATAAGTCACTTTCCTTTCAGAATTATTTATGTACCTTTCCAAAGTGGGGTTGGGTGGTAAATGAAGGAGTAAGTCCTTTATTATCCCTGTCAAGGACATTTAAAAATTTGTCCTTTCAAAGACATTTTTATGTGGAACTAGGACTCATAAAGGAAGATAGTGCTTATCCTCAAATAATGGAAATTATCAGTAGGGTTGATGATTTGGGGTGGGGTGGTGGTGGTGAGGGTAGAGAAAACTTCTCTAGAGTTTCTTAGATGACATTGTACATAGTTACCTACATGCTAAATGAAGTCCTTGTGCTCCCTGGAGTGTTCCTGCCTTTACCTTTGCTACCAGGCATGGTAAATGTTAGCTGTTAGGAGTTAAAGTAGGGATTAGGTTGATCTGAAAGCAAGGTAGTCTCTGCCTCTTTAGGTTAATCAGGGGATCAGGAAGAAACATAATCCAGGGTTGAATGCAGAATCTCACTGCCTATGTATTTTTTCTTTTTTGGGGGGGGTACTAGGGATTGGTTCTAGAGGTGTTCTACCACTGAACTATACCCCCAGCCCATTTTATTTTTTAAATTTTGAGACAGGGTCTCACTAAGATGCCCAAACTGGTCTCAAACTTGCAATCCTCCTGCCTCAGCCTCCCAAGTAGGTGGGATACCAGGTGGGATTCCAGGAAATGTATGTATTTCCTTTGATATACATAAGTTAAATAAAAACAAAACAGCAACAAAAGAAAAACATTTTGTTATAAAAACATCTCCAATTTGTGTCCCTAGAAAATTTTGTTTTTATTATGTTAACATCAAAAGGTCAATATGATTTTGAGGGAAATATCAAAAAGCATACTAAAAATTAGAATAATTTTGTGAGGGGACAGATGCCATCTTGTAGCTAATTTACAGAAACAGTTTAAGAGATAGATATAGTTTGAGGCCAAACTAAATATAATTTGAAATTGCATGAAGGAAAGAAGAGCATAATTTAGTCTGATCATGGGATAAACTAAATGATATCATTTAAAAAGGAAATTTCTCAGGTAATATAGATAAAAGCAAAAAGCAATTTTATATCGAGGAATGTGAGAGTGACATTCAAATGTGAAATCTATGTTTTTTTCATTGATTAAGGCTGGAAGCTCTGCTGTGAAGTTACTTGAACGGGAGGTGAATATCCTAAAAAGTGTAAATCATAAACACATCATACATTTGGAACAAGTATTTGAGACATCTAAGGTAAAGTTCTATCGGATACTATGTTTTGAAAGTTGTTACTATTGCAAAATGAATATAATTTCATTCTGCAGTAATTCCTTTGGGGCACAGTTGTTCATGTCCTTGGCATGAGTCTGACATTGGAGATTGATGAGAATATTCTGGAGGACTTTTATTATTGATTGTATAATTAGGTGTCTGATGATTGATTGATGTCTTTAGTAATATGTTCTGGGTGGCATGGTGGAAACAAATGTTTAAAATTACAACTTCATACTCAACCAGTTAGTGATTAGAGCTTCCTTAGAGATGGCATTCCTTTAGCTTTGGTTCTTAGTCTCTCCATTAGAATTTCTTGGAATACTGTCATAATTTTGAAAAATTAGCTTTATAATCAGCTTGGCATAGTATATTTGGTATTATGTATAAAACATTTCATCATCTGTATCATTCCAATGTGTTTTTTTCTTTCCTAAATGTTATCATTTTTCTATTTAAATGCCTGTAATTTTCACTTAGAGTTGTTTAGAAGCCTGGCTTATTTTCAATTTTGCCTCTAGATTTTTTAGTGCTTGTGGACTTGGGTGTTTCTCGGCTTGGAAGTACTATGATATAGTGGTTAGTTATGTAGATTCCAAGATAAGATTTCCTGTGCATTTGAATCCTGATTCTACCACTTACTAGCCATAAGACCATGACCAAGGCATTCAATTTCTCTATTCCTCATTTGCTCATCTGTAAAATGGATTTAATAATAGTGTTGATTTCATTTGTACATTGAAGGATTAAATGGGAAAATGGATATAAAGTATCTGTTTCATTAAATGTTAGTTATTGATTTTCATTTTCTTTGACAGTTTTTAAGGGTCCTCTGTTCATTTTTTCCAACATTTTTTCTTTCCATATTTTATTTTGTATAATTTATATTGATGTGTCTTCATGTTCAGTAATCTCTTCTTCTATAATGTTAAGTGTGCTATTAATCTCCTCCAGTGGAAATTTTATTTATGTATGTGTGTGCATGTATGTGTATGTGTGTGTGTATGTATGTGTATATATGTACATTCCATGTGTCTACTTAACATACCTAATCTTTCTTCCTTCTTGAAGTCATAATAACTATTTTAATGTCCTTTTGCTGCTAATTTTACATTGTATCATTTCTAGAACAGTTTCAACTGATTGATATTTTTCTCCCTTTATTATGGGTTATATTTTCAGACTTTGTACACCTATTAATTTTTGGTTGGATACCAGGCATTCTGAATTTTACCTTTTTGGATACTTCACATTTTTATATTCTTTTTTTTCAAATTCTTATCGCTTTTATTTTCTTTTCTCTTTTTAAATTAATGTGTTACAGTTATACACAATAGTGGACTTTATTATGCCCCATTCATACATGCACATAGCATAATTTAATTAATCTCATTCCCCAGTATCTTCCCTTTTCCTCCCCCGATCTGCTTGCTCTACACTTCTAATCTCCCTTCCATTCTTCTTATTATTTCAATTAGTACATTATATATATATATATATATATATATATATATATATATATATATATGAATACATATATGTAGAGAATACATACATACATACATAGAATACATATATAGAAAGTATATATATTACATATATACAAAATCCACTGGGGTTTATTCATACATGGACATAGTATAATTGGGTAGATTTTGTTACCCTTTATTTTCCCATGTTCTCCCCTCCTCCCTCTCTCTCTGCATACCCTTCCTCTACTCTGTTGGACTCCCTTTTGTTTTCATGCAATCACCCCTTTTTTCTCTGTCTCTCTACATTTGCATATGAGAAAAAATTTTCTATCATTGACTTTCTAAGTCCTGCTTATTTCATTTAGCATGATGTTCTCCAGTTCCATACATTTACCAGAAAATGACTAAATTTCATAATTTATGAAAAGCTTCGTTGAGTATATATACCACATTTTCTTTATCCATTTGTATGTTGAGGGGAACCTAGAGAAGTTCTATAACTTGGCTATTGTGAACTGCACTGCTATAAGCACTGATGTACATGTATCACTATAGTATGTTGATTTTAGTTCTTTTGGATAAATCACAAGGAATGGGATAGCTGGGTCATATGGTGGTTTCATTTCTAGTCTTTTTGAGGAATCTCCATAGTGATTTCCAAAGTGGTTGTACTAATTTGCCATCCTACCAAATATATATAAGTGTACCTTTCCCCATTATTTTCACCGTGTATTATTATTTGTATTCTTTTTTATTGGTTCTTTTTAGTTATGCATGACAATAGGATTCATTTTGACATAATTATAAAAGCATAGGATGTAATTTGTTCTAATTCAATCTCAGTACTACCCCTTTCTCTCCCCCTGTTACCTTCCCTCTACTCTACCGATCTTTCTGCTATTTACTTATACGTTTTTTTTATTAGTGTATTTTAGATGTACATGATGAGATTCACTGAGGCATATTTATATATGTACACAGAAAAGTTAGGTCAGATTCATTCCACTGTCTTTCCCTATCCCATCTCACCTCCCTTCCCTTCATTCCCCTTTGTATTCTTTGTATTCTTGATGGCTGCCATTCTAACTGGAGTCAGATGAAACCTCAAGTGTAGTTTTAATTTGCATTTCCCTTATTGATAGGGATGTTGAATATTTTTTCATATATTTATTGGCCATCTATATTTCTTTTTTAGAGAAATGTGTTGATAATATTTGTCCATTTATTGATTGGGTTATTTGGGTTTTTTGAAGTTAAGTTATTTTGAATTCTTTATATATTCTGAATATTAATCCTCAGTTGGAAGAGTAACTAGGAAAAATTTTCTCCCATTCTGTATGCTCTCTTTTCATGCTCTTGTTACCTTTGCTTTGTAGAAGCTTTTTAATTTGATGCCATTCCACTTATTGATTCTTGGTTTTATCTCTTGAGCTTCAGAAGTCTTATTAAGAAATTGGTACCTGTACCAGATATTTTTATATTCTTAAAACTGTTCTTGACCTTTAATCTAGCATATAGTTAAGTCACTTGGAAATAGTTTGATACTTTTGAATCTTGCTTTAATCTTTGTTAGGTGGCACCAGAGCAGCCCTTAGTCCAGGACTCATTTTCCCTACTACCAAGGTTCAAGCCTTCTGAGTATACACACTCTATTCAATGTCCCATGAATTATGATATTTTTCTTTTCTTTTTATTTATACATGACAGCAGAATGCATTACAATTCTTACTACACATATATAGCATGATTTTTCATATCTCTGATTGTATACAAAGTATATTCATACCAATTTTTGTCTTCATACACATACTTTGGATAATAATGACCATCACATTCCTCCATCATTTCTAACCCCATGCTGCCTTTCTTCCCTTCAAACCCCTCTGCTCTATCTAATAGTTAATAGGAACACAAACTGTTCCTGGCCATGTGTAAGTTCAAGTGATTGTTCCCTCAGCTCCTTTTGCATGTTTATTTTCCCAGTTTTGGGAATGAATCATGTGCTGATTAGTACTCCAATCATATGCTGAAGAATTGAGGAGGCAAATCTCTGGAGCTTTCTGTCTGTATAGCTTTATCCTTCTGTTATACTTTTCCTATGAACTCCCAGCTCCACCTCTTTGACCCATGGAGGCTGCTGGCCCCTGCTTGATTTCTCTCTCCCTGCCTGTAGTCTGGAAATTCTCCAGTCAGGAAGCAAGGATAATCATGGGGCTTGCCTCTTGTGTTTCCTTTCTCCAAGAGATTTCTTCTTTATGCTGCCTGGTATCACATTTTTGTTTGTTTTTAGGTCAAATCTGCCTCTCCCTAACTTGTAAACACTCACAAATGTTTAGACTTTCCACTGAAGGCGTTTTAAAGAAATGGTTCCCATTTCTTTACTAGTGATCATCCAGTCTGCATATGCTAGTTTATCATGACTCTAAACATTCTCTAGATCTACCCAATTGTTTCTAATGATTATAAAAAGAATTTGTTTTTATAAATGTTACTGATATAATTTTGATCAAATTGCATTTAAAATTGACATCAGTTAATATTGTAACCCCTACTAATGCAACTTTCCCTCTGTGTACCAGTGATCCTGTCAATGAAGAAAGTATGGCCCAGTTCAAAAGCTTATTTATGTGTCAGACTTTGCAGATAACTTTTGATATTCTAAAGCAGTCTGAAGTTCAGTGAATCAGAATTGTGTCTGTAAGAAGAAAGGATGTTAACCTTCTTTTCCTGCTTTAATGTTTATGGATTGAACACTGAAGTTGTATTAGCAGTGGTTATAAGAGCAGAATCAGACCCCCAAATCTTTTTTAAAAGTTTTTTTTAGTTGTAGATGGACAATGCCTTTATTTTATTTATTTTTATGTGGTGCTGAGGATTGAACCCAGTGCCTGATATTTGCCAGGTAAGTGCTCTACCACTGAGCTACAACCCCAGCCCCAGATCCCCAAATCTTAAGAACAACAGAAATCTAGCAGCAGAGGTTAGAATGGAGATGCAGAGAGTAGTCTCTATCCATAGCAATGCATGTGAAAAAGACTTGCATTTTGGTTGATTGTGAATCATTTTGACTCAATAGATGACTTAACTATTGGAATATCTAAAGAGATATTAATATGCCTTAAAAGAAACAGCAGGGCTAGGGATGTGGCTCAAGCAGTAGCGCGCTTGCCTGGCATGTGCAGGGCGCTGGGTTCGATCCTCAGCACCACACAAAAATAAAATAAAGATGTTATGTCCACCAAAAACTAAAAAATAAATATTAACAAATTCTCTCTCCCTCTCTCCCTCTCCCTCTCCCTCTCCCTCTCTCCCTCTCTCTCTCAAAAAAAAAAAAAAAAAAAAAAAGAAAGAAAGAAAGAAACAGCAAATATGCAAGAGGCCTTTCATCTGTATCTTCTTACTGCTCCACCCAATTAGTCATTGAGCCCCACTGTTTCTTCCTCCTAGGTATTTTTCAAATCTTTTTTTCCTCCTCCTTCTTGTTTGTATTCTGTTCCTCATACCTGCTCACTATCAACAGAAGTCAGCACTGGTCTGCTGCCCATTTTCTTATGGCCTATAAACTAAGTTTTCTCCGTTTTCAAATTATTGGAAAAATGCAAAAGAATAATATCTTATGACTTGTGAAAATTATATGAAACTCAAATTTCCAAGTCCATAAATAGAGTGTTTTTGTATTGTTTATGGCTGCTTTCATACTACAGCAGCAGAGCCAGGTAGTTATGAAAGAGACTGGCTTGCAAAGCCTGTAATATTTACTCCTGGGTTTGGCCTGTATAGAAAATTTTTGCTGAGCCCTGATGTTACACTACTGCTAGAGTGTTCATTTGGAAATGCAAAATTGATAATATCATATAACATTCCCCCTTCCAAACACTATCTTAAAATATTCAGTGGCTTATTGCATGTGGGAAAAAAATCTATACTCTTGAGGATGATATCCAAGACTTTATACCAACTGGCACCAACCTGTTCTTTCTAGCTTCTTCCCCACCACTTCTTTCCTCCTCACCCTATCAAGCTTCTAATGTTATTAATGCTGAGATATTTGTTGTCCTTTTAATAGCTGATGTTGTTTCAAATTTATACCGTGTACTCTGCCTGATCTTCCCCTACATTTTCTACCCACAAATCCCTGTTCAAACACCTAGATCTGGCTTTAATGTCTCTCCTGTGAGCATTCTTTTTTTTTTTTGTAGTTGTAGTTGGATGGCATGCCTTTATTTTATTTGGTTTTTGTTTGTTTGGTTTTTGTGGTTCTCAGGACTGAACCCAGTGTCTCACACATGCCAGGCAAGTACTCTGCCACTGAGCTACAGCCCCAGCCCTCCTGTGAGCGTTTTTTAGGCAGAGAAGAACTGCCCCTCCCCCATAACCCTATCACATTTTGGGCCATTAGCACTTACCAATGATTCTGTAATTGTAACTAAATTGGGAACTTGTTGGGAGTAAAGACTATGTCTTATGTTCTTCTAGTATCCAGTTCAGTATCCTGTACATAATAGATAAAATTATTTTTGAATGAATTAATGATGATTAAGATTGTGATCATGTAATACAATATATAACATTTTAAGGATACACAGCTATATAATTTGCTCTCTCTTGCTCTCTCTCTTTTAAATATATAATGTCAGAAAATGTACCTTGTGATGGAGCTTTGTGAGGATGGAGAACTCAAAGCAGTTCTGGATAGGAAAGGGCATTTCTCAGAGAATGAGACAAGGTGGATCATTCAAAGTCTTGCATCAGCTATAGCATACCTTCATACTAAGGGTAAGAAGAGGATCATCCAACTCATTGAGTCCATAAATGCAGATATCACTTTTGTTTAAGGGTAATTGTATTCATAGTCATATAAATAACACTTGGTAATATAGAAGACTTGTTTGCTATTTTGTAGTTTTCCCTTTATGTATAGATACATTTTAATTAGAAACAAACAGATTCACAATTACATTTTACATAGACAAAGAAGCAGTTATGAACATTGCTTTTTTTTTTTTTTTTTGATAGTGCTGGGGATTAAACACAGACCTTTGCATGTGCTAAGCAAGCACTCTACCACTGAGCTGCACCTTGAGTCCTATGAACATTTCTGTTTAGTGATTTAAAAAGCAGACAATATATCCAAAGTAGAAAAAACAATATTAAAGGTGAAGTTTCCTAAAAATTTATATATTAATAACATTAAAAATGTGTATGTTCTAGGCTTTCTTTTTTGTACTTTCAAATTTATTGTTAGAGTGCTAAGTTCACACCAAAATTGAGCAAAAGGTTCAGCAATATCCCTTAAACTCCCTGCACTCACATATATAAGGCATTTTCCACTATCAAAATCCCATACCAGAGTGGTCCAGTTATTAAAATTGATGAACCCACATTAACACATCACTATCACCCAAAGTACATAGTTTACATTAGGATTCATTGTTGGTGTTGTACATTCTGTGGGTTTTGACAAATGCATAATGATATTTATCTACTATTAAGGCATCATGTAGAGTAGTTTCACAGTACTTTAAAAACGACATTTAACGATTATTGTAATTATTCTTTGACTTTTCTGTTCTTTGATGTTACTGCTGCTGCTTTGCCTCATGCATCTTTTTTTTTTTCTTCAAGGTTAGTTTGGCTTACCATATGACTTTAGAACTGTCTCATCTTTCAGATGAGAAAAAACTTTGTTCCCAAAAGGTTCAGTGACATGTTTGGTGGGGCAGAGCTGGTACTAGATCTCAGGTTCCTTTAGCAGATTTTTCCTGAGCGCCTATTGCACTGTTACTGATCTTAGAGTTACACAGATTAAAAGATAAGGCATCTTCCCTCAAGGAACTCAAGCTAGTGAGAGATTGAGCGTAAAAAACAATTTGTAATCAAATATGAAAATTTCTCTGGTGGAGAACCCTGTGAAGTTCAAGAAACACAGGAGTGTTAATATATCATTTGATTTTGAATGTCAGAAAAGAATTCAGAGGAAACAATATTCAATCTAGGAATACAAACTTAGACAAAAAAGGGAGGGCATTCCAGACAGAGGGGAAACTGTTTTTGCAAAGGCTTAATATTATGCTCATGCCAATCCTCCCATATTAAGCTATAACTTCAGTATAATTCCAAACCAAATTTTTATAGCATTTTCCTAAAACTTGATTAGATTATTCTAAAACAGGTGAGAATAGATAGTACAACAATGAACAGCAATGAGGGAGCAGGGAGACTTGCCCTGCCAGGGATCAAAATACACCATAAGGATATATTAATTAAAACTGTGTGGTATTTATGTAAGAAAAGACAAGCAGAAGAACAGAACAATACAGATTCCAAAAACAAAACCTGTAAATTGTGTAAGGAAAATATAAATGACTAGATATAATTACCACTGCAGGGCTCATTCAACTCCATTTTTCCAGCAATTAAACCCTTAACTTTTAAATCTAGAGAAATGATTGCTATGGATATGAATTGAATTAATTATTTGCAAAGGAAGAATTTTTACATGATTATTTGCAGGTATACAAAAATACTACTTAAACTCTAACATGTTCAACTAAACATTTTATGTCTCAAGGATTTTTTTATTTTAACATACCAAGAGTATGAAATGTATGCTGATGTTATAGAAAAATATTCTGAAATAAATATAGTTTATATACATATAGCCAAATTAAAGTGTGTTAAAATTCTTATATTGACAGTAGCACATATTTAGAAGTAAAGAATTAATCTCTTCTTTTGAAGTTCTAAGGATATGGGCAACATTACTGTACTTCTAACACCGTCTCCCTCCTCCTCGGAAGGTCACCTTGGCCAGGATCATCCTCCACACTTAACCAGGCCACACATCATGAAGAGCAACCAGTTGGGGCAACAAGGGAATGGGTAGAGATGAGGGAGACAAAAAAAAAAAAAAAAAAAGGCTTCATAGGGTTAGAAATGTAGGGAAGATGGTTTGTAAGATTTATACCCTGCCCCCCACCATTCCATTTTCAGCAGTGGATTGTAATTTGTTAAATACATTTATTCGTCTTATTGATGTACCCTTTATTTTTCTGTTATACATTTCATTTGACTTGTTTGTTTTCTTGATAGATATAGTACATAGAGATCTAAAACTGGAAAACATATTGGTAAAAAGCAGCTTTGTTGATGCTAACAATGAAATGAACTTAAATATAAAGGTAAGATATTAAAAATGATGATAAATATTTCCCTATAAATAGTTTATTAGCAAAGTGGCAGAGTACAACTTTTAGATATATATCAATTGCTTTTAAGCAGCCAGAAAATAAGTTACTTGTGCTAAAAAATAAAAAATTCACAAAAGAGGTTGTAACTGACAAGAATAATTTTACAAGTTAAGTGGTGTTTTTTAAAGTACATACTCATTTGGATGTTCTAAATCATTAGTTAATAGCAAGCAAACAGATGCTCTGAATTCTAATTAATTTCAGAATTATGCCTGGTAATTCGATGTAAATGTGTTACAGATTTAGAGAAAAACACACCTTGGCTGTACTTTTGATGCTAAATTAATGCTACAGTCTGTATTTCTCATTGAAAATTTTCCTGGGTGTTAATATTTATGTCTTAAGTGCAGTTACTGTGCCAAGTGTTTATTCTTGAAGATTTTATTCCTTAATGTCAAATAAATGATAGGATATATTATTTATTACTCAGCACTTTAATAGTGGCTGCTTTCAAAATACATACATGTTTTTATCTCGGAATAAAATGTTGTCTGTGAGTAACTTGCTGTTGCTGAAGCTAAGTCCTTAGAAAAAGTTCAACGCAGTACTTTTGGTTTACTGAAGTAAATGTTCCTAAATAGTTCCATTGTAAACTCCATGAAGTCAGGAATTGTGTATGTCTTATGCTCTGTTGGAACCTTGATTAGTCCCTGAGACATAGAATGTACTCAACTAATCTTTGGCAAATGAAGAAATTGATGCTCTCCAAGAACTAAATTGGATTGTGAAGGCTTTGGTCTACTTGATGTCTGTACAGGTTTTCTGTAGAGAAAGATGTATCATAATGCTCAAAGTAGGTATTTGTGAAAATGCCTGGAAAAATTGATTCATATTTTAGAAAAATAGTGATATCACATGTTAACTAGGAACATTTTCTTACTCCATAAGGTACTAAAAGCTTTGCATTTAGTGAGTACCAAGAGGCTGTATTTGGTTGTATGATGAATAGATTTGTCTGTTTTTCTGCTTTTGGCTCAAGAGTCTTCTACCATGGGAGACAAGACCAAGGGTACACACTCAATATTTAATAACCAAATGTTTAGTTACTAAGATTTAGAATGGAGCAGAAAGACTGCAGCTGCAAGCAGTAGGCCTCTAGAGTATTCTTAGTTACACTGCATTATTATGAGTTTTTTTTCTTGTTAATTTGATTCTCATAGTTTTTAATAGGATAGTAATTGTTTTAATTAGTATATTCTAGAATCAAAAGGAAATCATAGTAAAGAAAAGGTAGTATTTACCAATTATAAATAACTATAAAAAGGGTATTTCAGTGAATGCCCATAAGGGTAATGATTTGATTTATAACAGTGCTTTAAACTGGAACATATCTTGAGTATCAGGAAAATAGACGATACACTAAGGCTAGAATGTATTTTGCAATGAAAAAAGTTAGATCCCTTCTTTCAAGATACAACTCCTATTTTGAACTGGTGAATTTAATCAGAGGCATGAACAAGTTCTCTCAAGATCTGAGAAACCAGATTGTGGTTTCTTCCCCACACACAGAGAGGTGGGTGGGGAGATAAAAGTCTTTTTAGTTAATACAAGTCTTTTTAGTTAATAAAAGTCTTTTTAGTTAATAAAGTTCCCACCCATAGGAATATCTAAGTAAATGCAATTATGATGTGGTGAAAGTCCTATCTTCAGAATGAGTGAAGTCTGGAATAGGAAAATGGGTGACTATGCCTGCTTTTTTTCTTCTAGGTGACTGATTTTGGCTTGGCAGTAAAGAAACATGGTAGGGCTGAAGCCATGATGCAGGCCACATGTGGAACTCCTATCTATATGGGTAAGTTAGTAGACTTAAAAGAATTTTTTTTTCCTCTGTAAAAAGTAGAACAATTAGTGTAGAGTGCAATTTGAATGATTTGATTTTGCCATCATGACTTAATGGCCCTTGATCAAGCAACATTTTCTTTCGTAGGTTAAATAATTTCAATTGTTCTAGCATTTTTCTCATAATTCTTACTTTCAGTGATTGTTGAAATTTTTGTTGTTTCTCTGGGATCTTCTTAAAGTTATTTTTATCTCTTAGGTAATCATACCTCAAACTTACTGTTTTTGTTAAATCACACTAAAATCACATGTATGTTTTGCTTCTTTGCATTTTTGTTCAATTTTATTGCCATCAATTTTTCATGAAGATTGGTTGATTAAATGTATTTTTTAAACCAACACATTTCCTTTTTCTAAATGTAATTTTAAACAGCTTATTAAGGTTTAATTAAATACCATAAATAGGTACAATTCATTGATTTTTCATATATTCACAGAGTCATACAGCCATCATCACAATTCAGTTTTAAAACAACATATTCACAGAGTATACAGCCATTATCACAATTCTATTTCAAAAGTTCCCTCATGCCCGTTTGTACTCAATCTCATTTTTATCCTACCCTCAAGTAGCCACTGATTATTCTAGACTTCCCTCTTTTTTTCCCCCTCTCTCTAGAAATTTCTTTTCTGGATATGTCATACAAAAAGAATCATATGATAATGTGATCTTTTATACTATGTTGACTTTTATGCCTTACCATAATATTTTTGAGCTACATCTATGTTGTAGAATTTGTCTCTAGTTTGTTCCTTTATATTCCTAAATAGTTATATAGCATGGGTATGCCACACTAGCTGATGCACTCGTGGTTGTTTCTAGTGTGAAGTTATTACAAATAATGCTGTTATGAACATTCATGCTGAAGTCTTTGTGAGGACATGTCGTTTCATTTTCCTTGGGTATTTACCTAAGAGTGAAATTGCTGAGTCATATGTTAAGTGTATGTTTAACTTTTTAAGAAATTGACAAACTTATTTTCCATGGTGGCTGTTACCATTCCACCAGTAGTGTTTTAGGATTTCAATTTTTTCTCATCCTTGCCAACTCTCCAACTCTTCCCACCACTCCACCCCACCCTGAACCCCCCTCCCACCAGTACTGGGGATAGAGCCCAGGGTCTGCTACATTCCTAGCCTTTAAAACATTTTTTATTTTGAAACAGGGTCTCACTGAGGTTGTTAAGGCTGAACTTGAACTTCCTATCTTCCTGCTTTAGCCTACGGAGAAGCTGGGATTAAAGGCATGTGCCACTGCCCTTCGCTACTTACCAACTTTTGATATTAACTATCTTTTAAATTGTAGCATTGTAGTGGGTATAAAGTGTTATATCATTGTGGTTTTTAATTTGCATTTCCTAATGGTTAATATTGTTGAGTGTCTTATTCATAATATCCTCTCTGTTGAAATGTCTTTAATATATGTGTGTGTGTGTATGTAGTTTCATTAATAGATTATAAAATGTTGAACCACTCTTGCATATTTGCAAGGTTGCTTTAATATATTGCTCTATTCAATTTGCTACCACTTTATGTAGGAACTTTGACTGTTGCTTTCTTCTTTTTGTGCTAGGGTATGCTGGTACCATTTAAAAATTAAAAACAATGTTCGCTTTTTATATGCCCATGAACATTTTACATAATAGATGTTATATATTAATAGTTTGAAATTTCCCTTTAAAAGTTTTTGGTCCTGTTATCCTTTGCAAATATTGTTTCTGTTATATTTTTCATTTATACTGCATTATTTCAGTTTTCACTTCTTGAATAATTTTGATAATATTGACTGTTTTCTAGAAATTGTTATTTCATTGGCATAAATGTGCATATTGCATATATATATATATATATATATATATATATAGTGTTAAAGAGAAGTGCTGAGGACAAAAAATTAAACAGGGAGGAGGAGGATGATAGTATCTTTTTTATCAAGTTAAAATGAGAATTAAATGAGAAAATAGGAGTAAAGAGCTTAAAACAGTGCTTGGCACTTAGAGCTCAATTTTTGCTCCTGTACTAACACAAATTTTTATTATTATTTTTTTGTTCAAATTTGTTAGTAGTTAGGGCAGTTTCTTGGGCTTTTTAAGAACTAGCTCATATCTTACAGTATTTGGATGGCTTTTTCATAAATTTCTACTTTTATCTTTCTGAGTTCATTCTCTTTTTCTTTTGGTCTGCACATGCCTTTAATCCCAGCTTCTCTGGAGGCTAAAGCAGGAAGATAAGAAGTTCAAGGCCAGCCTCAACAACCTCAGTGAGACCCTGTTTCAAAATTAAAAAAAATTTAAAGTCTAGGAATGTAGCATGCATGAGGCCCTGTGCTCCATCCCCAGTACTCGGGGGTGGGGGGTGGAGTTAGCAAGGATGTGAAAAAATTGAAATCCTAAAATCCTAAAAAATGGAAATCCTCAGTTGAATGATTGTTTATTATCAGTCTTCTTGTTTTCTAATAAGTACATGTAAAGCTATGAATTTTTCTTCTCTTTTGGCATACAGTGTTCTAATTGTGATTCATCTCTTACTACACTATAATTTTAGATTTAGTCTTCTTTAAGCCAACAATTATTTAGAGGTGTGTTTAGAATTTTCCAGGTGACTGGGATGTGTTTAATGTTCATGTAAATGTGAGTTTATTTTCATGACCTTTTGGATCATCTGTCTAGTTTTCTTATTGTATCTTTATGATTGTATCTTGAAGATTTTCAATTTCTCTTGATCTCTGAAAGTTATTAAAATCACCCACCAAGATAGGGCTTTAACTAGTTCTTTTTGTAGTTATAGTAGATTTTTTTTTAAAAAAATCACTTTATAGAAATAAAATTTATATACAGTAAAATACACACATTTTAAATGTAAAGTTGAATGAGTTTTAAAAACTTCATATACTCATGTGATCACCACCTCAATGAAGATTTAGAACATGTCTATCATCCTATAAAGTTCCTCTGTGTCCATTTCAGTCAACCTCCTATCTAGGTCCCAGAAACCACTGATGATTTCTATCACCACAATCAGTTTTGCTTGACTAGACATTTTATGTAAATTTAATTATATAGTATATATTCTTTTGTGCCTATCTTCTTTGGTTCCATATGATTTTGAGATTTTTTTGCATGTTGTTATATCAGTATTCATTTTTATTGCTTTTTTGCCTGCTTGATACTAAAGTTTTTAAATTGTTTTATCTTATTTTGGAAAAGGCTACTTTAGATTCTGTTCATATCTTCCCATTGGCAAAAGACAGCTGGTCTGTAGTTACATGGGGAAAATATATCTAAGCACCCTGAGTTTTATGCCTGCTTATTAGTTGTCTACACTATAACAAGTGAGAGAACTAGAGAGAAGACAGATGGTTTGTGGAGCTTTGCTGACTTTCTAAATGGCTCCTTGGCACAGTTACTCTGGCTTCTGCCTCCCTGAGGGCTGGGATGACAGTGTAAGTAGAAATGCCCCTGATAATTAAGAACATTCTGAAAAAGTGAAGCCTAGGAATTCCTAGCCCCTGCTGTATGATGCATCAATATGGTGAGCCTTCATTGTCTCCAGTCACAGGATTTACCCTTGTGATAGACACGATCATAGAACAACTTGCACTATAATGATGCAATATTTAAAGATTTTAAGTAATATTAAAGAATACAAGTACAGTAGTTGCTTAAAGGAAATTATTACTAAATTTTTAATCATTTGAAGGAAAATTAGTAAGTTTATTAATTATCTATAGTATAGCCTTTTCTCATTCTTCTCTTTCGACTTGTGTTGCTTTTTCATTCCTTTAAAGTAAAAGGCAGAGTAAAAAAGTAGAAAGGAAATTCTGGTTGCTTTCAGTAGTTATTATAAAGGTGTGTGTGTGTGTGTATGTGTGTGTGTTTCAGTGTGTAAGTGTGGGAGATTCAAACTGTTTTCTCAAAAGTTGTTTACATGCCTTTTCTGTGGGATGTGCTCTGTAGCTGTGTGACTTTAGAGAAGTTGCTTAATATACTTCAACCTTATTTTCTTTAAATATTTTTTTTCTATTTACTTTTTAGGTGTTGATGGACACAACACAATGCCTTTATTTTTATGTGGTGCTGAGGATCAAACCTGGGTCCTGCCCGTGCTAGGCGAGCGCTCTGCCACTGAGCCAAAATCCCAGCCCCAACCTTATTTTTTTATTGATTAAAAGGAGTCAAATGCCTACATACCCATCTCACAGGATTCTTAACACAGTTTATTAAAAATTTTTATGCAAAAATGCTTTGTAAATTTGAAAGTTCTGTTAAGATAGATAGATAGATAATAGATAGATAGATATAATTTTTAGAACTGTTTTTTTCATTAAAGATATCTGATCTATTGCTATAGAAGTGAAATGAACATATTTCTGCAATATCATATGCACCTTTTAAAAAGCCAGTTATTGCAAAAATAAAATCCAGTTTTTTTAAAAATGTACTCCCTTAAAATGGAAAGAATGATGTTATTTTGAGAAAGTTGTTTTAAGGAATCAGTTGTTTTTTGAACATCTTTGTAAAGCAAGGATCACAGAATTGGGGAGTCATGAATACCTGAATATCCTGTGACTGACTGACTGGTTTTTTTGAAGTTTCACAAAACCTCTAACTAGCTTTTTGATCCAGTCTTGTAGGAGCTTTCTCTCTTTGTTTTGGTTTTCTCACTTATAAAATGTGGGAAATAATTTATATTCTGTCATAGGAGTACTGTGATGTTATTATTGTTATTCTTTCACTAAAGTTATTTATAACCATTTCTCTTAGTTTTTCTGTGAATTCAGATTTCTACACATTGGACTTGCTTAAATTACTTCTATTTAAGGCATGTTTTCAATTCTATTTGGGGGAAAGGGATGAGATCTTGTTGTTTTTTACTGTAACTACACAATCTTGCAAAATCATTTCCTAACATTTTCCCAGGAATAAAGAGTAGTACATTTGGTTATACAGTTCCATCATTCCATTAGCTTATCATTCCAGCTAAATGATAAGCATGAGAATACAGTGACATCAATTGTTAAGGCCTGTACATTATTCATTTAACATCTGCTGTTTTTTTTTTTTTCCCCCAGTGGGGGAATTAATTACAACACATCAGCACATTTTTTCATGCTTTGTATTAAGCATTTAAAAGTCATTTATTGTATTATTAATACTATTTTATTTCTGCTTGTTTGGCAGCACCTGAAGTTATCAATGCCCACGACTATAGCCAGCAGTGTGACATTTGGGGCATAGGTGTCATAATGTATTATTTGTAAGTAGCCTGCTTATTGTACAGGGTAAAATAAATGGATAGACTCTGATGGTAGAATGACAATGATTTTAAATTAGAACTGAGCGATATATTTTTTAAAAAGTGATTTAAAAACCAAATGGAGAGTCATTCTAAAAAGTTCTCTTATTAGTTATCAGGTTCATCCCTTAGGTATTTTTTAATATTATAAATTTATAACTTTCAGCTTTGCTTTTCATTGATCTATAATTGCAACAATACACTATATAATCTGAGCAAAGTGAAAAACTGTCCTAAACACTTTCCTGATCCCTTTTTACAAATCAAGAACTTCTTTGTATTTTTTCATAATCTTAGTCCATCAGGTATAGGAAGGTACTGCAGCTTGGCCGTAGAGCTACCCATGTTGGCAGGACATATGTGGGGAGTGGCACTAACTAGGTAGAAATTTGTTCAGGGTCTAGGGAGTGCTCTGCATTTCCTAGTTCTTTTAATGTTACTGGAGACTACAGTGATTCTTCTTCCTCACTCTAGATTCAGTCAAACCCAAAGTCTTGTGATTTTTTTTCCTTTGAAGTATCCTTAACTATTTGATTTCTCCTCACCTTTATCATTCCTCTTTATAATCCCTTTTCTATAACATTACAGTGTCTTGTCTTTCTGTCTGTTCTTCCTGCTCTGGTCACCCTCCACAGTTAATCTTGCTGCTATTAAGGTTGTCTTTCTTTCTCTCTTTTTTAATATTTACTTTTAAGTTTTAGGTGGACACAATATCTTTATTTTATATTTTATGTGGTGCTGAGGATTGAACCCAGTGCCTCATGCAGGCTAGGCGAGCACTCTACCACTGAGCCACAACTCCAGCCCTTAAGGTTGTCTTTCTAAATATAAATTTGATCATACTATTTCTTGATTTAAAAACCTCTGATAATTACTCCTTGCTATAGAAAAGTATCAGAGCAAACTGGCATGGCATAGCTTAGCAAATCTTTCATGACCTGTCTCCAGCATGCCTTTCCTATTTTGGCCTAGGTGTATGTTCCTATGTACCTACCCTATTTTGTGGCCACTCTAGATTACTCAAACACACCCTGCGCTGCTTGCCTTTGGATGTGTGTGCATGTGTGCACCCATGCATACATGTATTCTTTTCTACAAACCTCTCTCCTGAGTGGGCCCAGTTCAAACATTCAAGTCATCTGTTTTGTACTTGTGTAAATATGATAATTGTTTACTTTGATGTGTGAACATAATGTATTTTGAAACTATAATTATATAGATTGTATACCTGTTTTTCTTGCTCTAAATTTCATGAAGAACAGAGATTTTATGTTATTCATCTTTGTATACCTGATATCTAATACAATAACAGGCACGTGTTCATGTGCTCAATATGTTTGCTAAATTGAATTAAGTGAATTGACTAAGAGGTGTTCTGAAAAGTTAGTGACCATTGTTCTGCCTCTTGGTGAGTATGAATGTTTTATGTTGATGCAACATTAGTTTTATGGTCATATTGAAGATTTCACTACTTACTACCTCTACCAGATGGTTTCTAAATATTGACATCACAGTAGTTACATTTTCACAGCTCTGTGAAATGGAATACACAGGCAGTAGAAATTGGATGATGTTATTGTAGCTGTAACTCAGTTTGGTCAACACACATCATTGCATATACAGCAAAAAGTATAAATGTATTTGCAAAATTTTTGACCATTGTTTTGTGCTGACTAGAATCATAGTGCAAAAATTTTGAGCCCCAGTCTTTAACTAAAATATAACTCTTTTAAATTAAGCTTTTATACTCATAAGACATTCTAAGCAAGTCAAATATAATATGTATAATCAATTATTCTACAATTCACATGGTGTTTGCTTGCTGCTGCCTTTTAAAATTTTTGTTTATTTATTTTTGCTGTACTGGGGATTGAGTCCAGGGCCCCTCATGTACTAGGCAAGTGCTCTACCACTAAGCTACATTTTCAGTGTTTTCTTCTTAGTTTTAATTTGATGTTAAGGCAAGTGAGTATATTACATATCTTTAAAATCTTTCTCTTTCTTAAAGATATCATTTTAATTATTTTGCTCCAGAGTGTAGCTGCATAACTTCATAATGGCTTCTTCTATTTTTTAAGGTATTCTTCCTTAGCTAATCAGTGCATATTCATTAATCTGTCTGATCCCAGTTGTGTTATAGATAATTCCTTCACCAGGAACACAAACACATTACCTTCTCCAGGGGGGTTATTTTCTTGTTTATCAGTTAGTTACCTTGGATTCATTTCTACTTAATTGGACAATGATAATATTCTTTCACAAGGTGCAATTAACAAAAATAAATACTTTCTGTGGTTACTATCATCTGCTGTTTTGATTCCTATGGATACAAAAGAAAAGGATAGGAGGACTTACAGAGGCATTTTTTTTCATGTCTTAGATTCCCTTTTCTGAATGTGCAAGAAAATTGCCATCATAAAATTTCATATGCTGCTGATTGACCAACCATTAGATACATTTTACGTAAATAAACTTGCAAAGGACTGAAAAAAGTGGACTTTTAAAAATGTAGCCCTTAAGCTATAGTTGCATGCTCATCAGAGCAGCTAAGGAATTGGGGGATTCGCATATCACTGGTTGATAACAGATTCAATGAGCTGGGCTTTTGCTGGCCTGTACTTGTTATAATACATAGTAATCGTCCATAAGGCCATTTTTCTGCCCTTTATTTTTATGACTTTTAAAATCATGTTTGTAAACCAAAAATAGCAAGGCGAATAAGATGAGTGAGAGGCAGGTCAGAAAGTTCTGTATAAATTTTAAGTATTAAAATGAAGGTTCCATAGCAATTTGATAAATACTGACCTCTTAACAAGATACTTCTGGTAATGAAGAGCTCTAATCGTCCAGCCTAGTTTGATAAACCAGTAGGATGAAAGTAACTTTAGTTCCTGGGAAAGTAATTATCATGAAAAACATTTATCAAATTTGACTTATTCAGAAATGTTCATGAGTTAGATTTTTGGAGAACTTGGAAAATATCACTAAAGAAAATCAGTAAAAAATGTAACTATAATTACTGAAGTATAGAATATATAAACAGGCCCAGGTTTACTTTATAATATACTTCTGTGGTTTTACTGATGTTGGTTGTTGTGTATACTCAGCTTTCACTCTTTCAGAACAAGGGTCAAATCATCATTTGATTTTCCTCATCCAAGCCTTCATTTCGTACACAATGATTAATGAGTTGTGGCCATTTTAATGGCTTTTTTGGCTTTGTCTCAGAGCCTATAGAAATTATCAGCATTGTCTTTATTTATTTATTTATTTATTTTTGTTTGTGTAGTATTTCACCATGAATAAAACTCTTATATAGTCATTCTACTCTCTAAACTCTCATTAGATTCTAACAACTCATTGTATATTTTCATAAGTTCAGTTTCCATTATGTATCTTAAGCCATTGCCTTACCCTTGCTCACATCAAACTGTATCTCCCCTATTAGCTGCTCCTGTTACGCTGTAATTAGACTCATACACTTCCTGTATTTGAACCCCATTTAAGCTTATGTTTCCTCACCTGGAAGAGCTTTAGATCATTTGCAAATCTGAAGGTTTCAGTGTATATATGTATACTTCCTCTGCCAGATCATTCTTACACCTGGAGAGATCTCTTCTTCATTTCTGTAAACATAAAAAACCACTATTTCAAAGACCTGCAGAAACTTAATTTGCAATGGCTTTATTTTGATTACATTTTAAATATTTAAACAAAATAATTGCCTTTGTTTAGGTTATGTGGAGAAGCACCCTTCTTGGCAAACTCAGAAGAAACTCTTTTTGAGTTAATAAAAAAGGGAGAACTACATTTTGAAAATCCAATCTGGAATTCCGTCGGTGATTGTGGTAAGTATAGACTTGCTGTTATTTACTAACGCAAATATAATTATTATAAGAAAGTGGGCCAGTCGTAAAACTGCTTTACATCTCTATTTAGTCATAACATTTACTTTGGAAATAAATGCTAGTTACTTATAGAAATAGTGATATCTTCACTATGATTATTCATAATCAAAACTTCCCCAAGCCAGAAAATACATAGTAAAAATTGAAGAGAAAATTTGCTGATCTCTAGCTGATTTTTACTATAGACCATTAAATGAGGTAGTTTATGCAATAAAACTTCACTTTAGGCTTTTTAAAAATGTATTAGGTATTTTTACTGATAATACTTGGAATCTTTCTCTTATATTATACAGACCTAATCCTAAATAAATTAGAAAATATATGACATTAATTGTAGTTAAGAGAAATAAAATTTTTCAGGACTTTTCCCTTATTTGCAGCCAAAAGTGTTTTGAAACAACTTCTGAAAGTAGATCCAGCTCACAGAATTACCGCTAAGGAACTACTAGATAACCAGTGGTTAACAGTAAGTTGTAATAATACTTTTTTTCTATTTCTGACATGGTGCCCTTGTTCACATCTTTTCATTTGGCTTTGTAGTTTTGCATATACTCAAGTTAAAAAAGGTTGAGTCTTACCAGAAGTGGTGGCACACTATTATAATCCCAGGGTCTTGGGAGGCTGAGGTGGGAGGATATCAAGTTCAAAGCCAGCCTAAGCAACTTAGTGAGGCCCTAAGTAACTCAGTAAGATCCTGTCTCAAAATAAAATACAAAAAAAGGCAAATAAAATACAAAAAAGGGCTTGAGGTCTGGGGTTGGTGCTCAGCAGTAGAGTGCTCACACTTGTTGAGACCCTGGGTTCGATTCTCAGCATCACATAAAAATAAATAAGTAAAATAAAGGTATTGTGTCCAACTACAACTAAAGAAATGAATATTTTTTTAAAAAGGGCTTGGGATGTGGCTCTGTGGTTAGTTAAGTGTGTTGGATAAACATATAACGGCAGCAGCAACCCAGAGAAAAACCCCAGCATGGCGTCTTCTCCTCTTTGTTTCTTTCACTGGCGCGAAACGTTCCCACCGGCACCAATGTTCAAATCCTGCTGGTGGGAAGCCTTAGCCCCAATTAGAATTAACTTCTTGGGCTCCGGAACTGACATATGGAAGAGCTTGCCAATAAACGGGTGACCTGTTATCTACCTCAGCCCTGCGACCTCTCCTTAGACCTATATAAACACACAGCCTTTTGTAATAAAGTGGAAACCTCTTTGGTAATCTGTGTTGTGTGGTGCGGCGTTTTTCCAGTCTTACAAAGTGCCCTAGGGTTCAGTCCCCAATTATTAAATCTCGACACACTTCTGAATTGAGCATTTTCAAATTGTTAAAACTGTTACCATAGTTGTTCCTATATATTTATAGGTGCTTAAATGAACTTTGCTCTGTTATTTGTCTTGAAGATATCATGTCCAGTAGAACAGGGTTGAGAAATGTTCATTATTGAAGCTGTGGAATATTGAAGCAGTCTCTGTAGTTCAGTGATATAAAGCAGTGGAACCATGCACCTCTCTTTTAACTCTTGGATATAAGGAATCTTCGGAGATTCAGAAAAGTGAAAGTCTCCAAACAGTGGATGTTATCTAGTTTTGAATCTTAAGTAATTGTTTATTTACATATTGTTTTCCACCATTAGATTAAATACCTTGAGCATAGACCCAGTACCTTTCCTCTGTATCCTTGCTCCCAGAATATCAACCTGGCCATAGCAGGAATTTTGGAAGAAGCTGCTTCTTACCTCTCAGTTTTTCTTTTTCTTTTCTCTCTCTTCTCTTATAATAAGAATCCTGATGGTTAGCTGGAAACTTTTGCTATCTAGTTAAGACTTTATACCCCAGTCTTCTTTGCTAATCATCATGATGGTCAGTAAGATGTGAAAGGAAACGGGTATATTTTCACTTTATGTGGCGAGAGGATAGCATTGTTTATGCCCTTCCTGTTTCCTAGTTACTGGAATAATGATGTGGTGGCTGGAGTTTGAGTAGTCATTTCATTTTAAAAATTTATTTTAATTGGTGCAACTCAGTTATACAGAATGGTAGTTTCCGTTATGGCATATTTGCACATACTTAAAATCCATGGTTTTGGCAGTGGAAACAGATGATGGAAGGGAGCAAGGCAGTAAGTTCTGATCTCCTCACAACATGGAAAGGAAAAGCAGAATTGAGAAAACTTTATTACAAGCTTATCTCTAGATTTGAGGAACCATGTAGAATAATAGCAACAATTTTTTTTTGCTTTTCTAATCAGGTTGGCTCTGAAGTGATTATAGTAAATAAGGTTCAGTGGCATCTCTTAAAATGGGCTGATATTGGGATCAGCAGAGGAAACACATTGATTAAAGATATCACTACCTGGATATTTGCCTAGGGCTCTTAAGAGAAAGAAACTCACAAAATATTCCCTTACTTAAAAAAAGTGAGAACTATACCAACAGATGGATAGACATACAAACAGTATGGAAAAGCAAGGGAATATGTCATACCAAACAGCTCTTAATGCTTGAACAACTTGACTCCATCAACACCATAGTGGAGGAATTTAGAAAGTTCATAGTTAAAATGTTCTATGAGTTAAATGATGATGTAAAGAGTGAAATCGGAGACAAAAATACATGAAGTAAAAGATCATTTCAATAAAGAGATAAAGATTCTGAAAAAGAACTAAATGGAAATCCTGGATATGAAAGACTCAATAAACCAAATAAAGGCTGGGGTTGTGGCTCAGTGGTGGAATACTTGCGTAACGTGTGTGAGGCACAGGGTTCTATCCTTAGCACCACATAAAAAATAAAAATAAAGGTATTGTGTCCATCTACAACTAAAAAAATATTTTAAAAAATAAGCCAAATAAAAATGCAATGCAAAGCATCACCAGATCATTTTAAAGATAGATTTTTCAGACTCAAAGACAAAGTGTATAATCTTTTTAATTGTCAATGGACCTTTATTTTTATTTATTTATATGTGACTGAGAATTGAACTGAGTGCCTCACACATGCAAGGCAAGTGCTGTACTACTGTGCTATAATTCCAGCCCTAAAGTGTATAATCTTGAAAATGAAGTTGACCATAAAGAAAAGATATTAAGAGACCATGAACAGAATATTCAAGAAATCTGGGATAATATTAAAAGCCCAAATTTAAGAATTATCAGGGGGAGATTAAGGCTCTGAAATACAAGCTAAAGGAATGCAAATCTTTTTTTTAATGTTTTTTACTTACAGGTAGACAATATCTTTATTTTACTTTTATGTGGTGCTGAGGATCAAACCCTCAGTGCCTCGTGAATGGTAGGCAAGCACTCTACCTCTGGGCCACAACCCCAGCCCGTGCAAAATCTTTTTAATGAAATAATATCAGGAAAACTTCCAAATCTAAGAATGAAATGGAAATTCAAATACAAGAGGCATATAGGACCCCAAATATACAAAATCACAATATGCCAATACCAAGACACATTATAATGAAAATGCCTAACATACAGAGTAAGGATAGGATTTGTAGGGAGGGAGAGCATGGGAGGAAAATTACCTCATAGGGAATAGGGGTGGGAGGGAAAGGGAGGGAGAAGGGGAATAGCAAGGATAGTGGAAGGAGACGGTCATCATTATACAAAATACATGTATGAAAATGTGAATTTGGTGTCAACATACCTTATATACAAACAGAGATATGATAAATTGTGGTATAAAGGTGTATTAAGAATTGTAATGCAAAAAAATAAGAGCTCATATATAATGGCGTAATTTGGCATGAGCATACTTTATATACAGAGTTACAAAAAATTGTGCTGTGAATGGATAATTATGAATGCAATGCATTCAACTATTGTCATATATGTAAGAAATAAAATAAAATAAAATAAAATGTACAAGAGAAAGATGGCTGGTCACATTTAGAGGTAAACTAGTACAAATTTCTTTTTTTTTTTTAAGAGAGAAAGAGAGAGAGAATTTTTTAATATTTATTTTTTAGTTTTCGGTGGACACAACATCTTTGTTTGTATGTGGTGCTGAGGATCGAACCCGGGGCCACACGCATGCCAGGCGAGCGCGCTACCGCTTGAGCCACATCACCAGCCCACTAGTACAAATTTCAACTGATTTCTCAACCCAGACCCTAAAAGACAGGAGGGCTTGGAATAATATAGATGAAGCTCTGAAAGAAAATGGATGCCAACCAAGAAGACTATATCCAGAAAAATTAAGCTTCAGAATTGAAGATGAAATAAAAACATTCCAATATAAACAGAAGCTAACAGAATTCGTAACTAGAAAGCTTGTACTACAAAACATATTTGAAATATTTCACAAAGAAGAAATGAAAAATAAAAATGAAAACCAGCACAGGGAGGAACTACACTAGAATAGTCAATTAAAGGAGAATCAAGTCTGATTTAAACATTAGAAATAAATCAAAATGGCAGAAACTAAAAATCATCTCACAATAATAACTTTTTCTTTTTATTCTAAACTTTTTAATTGAAAAACATAGATTGGTAGATTGGATTAAAAAACAAGACCCAACAATATGCTATCTATAAGAAACTCAACTCATAGGCAAAACATCCATAGACTGAAGGTGAAAGGATGGGAAAAGACATAACATTCACATGGGACTCAAAACCCAGCAGCAATAGCTATTCTTATATTAGATAAAGAGTGAACTTCAAGCCAAAATTAATCAGAAGAAACAAAAAATGTCACTTCATAATGCTTCAGGGAATCATATAACAAGAAGATATAATGATTATATTTATGTCCCAAATAATGAAACATACATAATTATGCCCCATACATGAAACAAATCCTTCTAAATATTAAGAATCAAATTGACCACAATACAATAATACTGGGTGACTTTAACATGCCTCTCTTACCACTGGATAAATCATCCAAATATAAAATAAGTTTCTACAGAACTAACGGATACAATTAATAATATGAACTTAATAGACATCTATAGACTATTTCATTCATCAATGACTGAATTCACTTTATTCTGACCAGCACATGGAATATTTTCTATTACAGATCATATTTTAGGTCACAAGTCAAATCTTTGCAAATAGAAAAAACTACATATAATGCCTTGCATTCTATCAGATCATAATGGGATGAAATTAGAAATCAATGATAAGATAAAAACCCTGTCTAATACCTGGGGATTAAATAATACACTTTTGAATGATCAGTGGATAGCAAAGAAATCAGGGGAGAAATTAAAAACTACTTAGAGGTAAATAAGAATAGTAATACAACATATCAAAATCTTTGGGACAATATAAAGGCAGATCTAAGAGGAAAGTTCATAGCATTGAGCTGATATGTTAAAAGAAAAGGAAAGAGAAATAATAGAAAGATAACAAATAAATAATCTAACATTACATCTCAATACCCTATAAAAAGAAGAATAAACCAACATCAAAATCAGTAGAAGAGGAGCTGGGGTTGTGGCTCAGTGGTAGAG